GCAGCTTGTCAAAGTTGGAAATCCGATTTCGGATGACATCGTTTTCGTTTTTCACCTTGCTGGATGCGGGTTGAAAAGTCCCCCAAGCGACACTGGCCTTACTTGATAGCTTTCAGGAGCTGCATCTTGAATGGTAAGCCTGAGTAATTATTGTCTAAAGTGTATGTGTTTGTTTTTTTATATCTAATTTCATGAAATCGAGCGCAGTTTATGAGGATAGTTTATGCACGTTTGTATTAAGATCTGAGACAATGATCTGATCTAGTGTGAGGTTTGATATAAGCTTGCAGAGCTTTAAAAGCCTTTAGTCGATATTTCCTCTCCGCAAATAGAAAGAAAAAACGTTCCGAAGAGTATTTAGTTATAATTTTGGTGTCGAAAGAAAGCTTTGAGCGATTTTCTTGCTCGAGTTCATCCAGGAAGCCGGCTAAAAGCTTTAAGCTTAAGCTTAAAGACTCAGGACTTTTAGAGACGCTTTAATACTTGTCTTCGTGAATGAAAATTGTTGTCTCTGTAAATGTTTCACGGAATCACATTTCTTTTATTGATTGTTAGTAGTCTCTTGCGATTTTAATCGCTTTACCGTTTGTTTTCAGTCGTTCATAAACATCGCTTGCAGGAGTACTCAAAATGCCACGCGTATCAAACGCTTTTTAAGATTACACATCGTTAAAAACCATTAAATAAAAAATAATAAACACAGTAAATTCTTTATTATGTTGAAGCGTAACTCTTTTAATGTTCACTGAAAATTTGGCGCTTGTCAGAAGTGAGAACCGCCTGGCCGTATAGGTGATTTTGGAAATTTTTTGAACGGTTTTGCTAAAACCCACGCGTGCTTCGTACGGTTCTGAATATTGAATGGGTGCAATTTGTCTTGAAAAATTGTGAAATACTGCATTTTGTCTGAGGTCTGTATGATAAAAACAGCGCCTCATATTACTGTTTCACCTCAATCAGATGTGATGTATAAAAAGTATGAAATGCTGGTTTACACGCACCCAGAGTCGTTGGCAAGATTTTATTGAGTAAACTTGGCCGCAAAAACTCGGCCTGGTTTGTTTTCCAAGAATTCGTTTTCCAGGCCTAATCTACTGTGATCAAGAGCCATTATGGCTTTTAAATGTGATCGAAGATGATTGCAATTTTTTGGGTGTATATATACGGCTATCAATTCGATGTAAGATTTTTTTTTCACTTTAAAATCACTTAGCCTTAGCTTTCCCTAAAAAGTTACATATGTGCGCTTAAGTTAACTGATTTGTGGATTACAAGTTTATTGTTTGATTTAAATTATAAATTTATTAATGGGAGCTTCGCTTTTAGCCCTGGCTAAATCTATGTATTATTAGGAATCCTGTGGTATTTACGGGCGACCTTATAATCGTTCGTCTTCTTTTCAGCGCCATTTTCAATTACGTTATAAGTGCATGCACACCATCTTTTTGGTTACGTAAAGGGTTTATCAAGGTCAACCAACCAACGGATGTAGAAAGCACGGGGTTATTTGAGTTCGGCGAGGAAGTGAAATTTTGAGCTGTCTTCGACATTTAAAGCGCGCGTGTTTTATCAGTGACCTGGGAATTCTGTCCTTCCTTTCTTGGTGTTTCTACACTTTTAGGTTAGAATGTTTTACTGGTCAAATCGAGCTGAAATTTTCGCAAAAAGGCAAAAATAAACTAAGGTAAAATTTGCGCCGTTTTTTGCTTTATTGAGGTATTTTAACGTATTATAGGCAGTTTTATTTTACACCTGAACAAAAAAAATCGGGAAAAGTACGTTTGCGGACTTACGTTTTCTTACCCGTGTTTTTATTTGTTTATGTACCTAATTCAATAAGGCTGCCTTGACATTTGGTCATTGGTAATCGAGCAATGGGCATTTGGGAGTGTGGAATCTACTGTAATGATTTGCTCGAGATGACAGACAAACAATACCTTTTCAGTGCGCAAAGCCGAATGCCAAAGGCAACCTGTGTTGAATCAGGTGTGCATGTAATGCTTTGACATATCTGCTCGTGATTTTGTTACTGTCCCTCTCGCCTAACAATATAAGCTTAAAACAAGATGAACTGACTTACACGAATTGATGAAGATGAACTAGTCGCACAATGGCAAAAGATTCTGTACCTTAAATATGACATCTGTGATCTCGCAACTTAAGCCTATGTTTCTGTAGCCTGAATATCAGGCTTTTATGCTTTTGTACGTTTGTAGTGATACATTTTTCTTACATATAACACAGGCAGCCCAGACGTAGTATGTGTCACTGAATGAATATATTAATATCCACATGGACAAATTATTGCGATGAGTCGTCGAAACTCCCATGGACTAAAATAGTCTAAAAGTCAAAATATAACAAAACAAAGCTAAGATACCTTCAACTGAACGTATCCTTGTCTTTCCTGGCCGGTTTAAGCGGCATTTTGTTGAGTTTTGAAATTGTAGGTACTATCCACTAAAGAAGAATTAAAGGCTGGCTACAAAACAAACAGACCATCTCCACGCGCCTTCACACGAAGCGCTATAAATTCGAGAATAATCGACGAATCTGCTCCAAATAACCATCGGCTAATCTGCAGGTAACGTGTGCTCCTGCTTCTGGCTCGCTTGCTCCACAAAACCCATCGCAACTGCACAATAATTGCTCGCTCATCAACAACCACTGTTGACCTTTACGCTTCGATATGACCGCAAACGACCAGGTTTAATACGCGACGTGACGCGACGTGAATATTCAAGCTTAGCGACCGCGTTCGCGCAACAATGCAGCACTTGCTATGGGAGGGATGGTACTATTGCTTCCAGGTCAATCAATCGGGAAAATAATATTGAAGCCCATGTAATTTTTAAAAAGATCCAATTTGCCCAAGGAGCACCGAACAGATACGAATCTTATAGCGGAGCTAAAAAAATGAGCGGCAGTGGAAAAAGTGAACAAGAACATATACCACATTTTCTCCATACAAAGTGAAAACCAGGAAGTTTTCTGGACGTTTCACGTTGCAGTCATGCAAATCAACGGCAAGGAAATGTACAAGAAAGTGTGCTGCAATTAGACCTATTGTTGTTTTTCACAGTTCTGGTCAAGGGCATCCAACTTTTAATTTTTCACATTTCACTCACCGGGTTAGGCTATTTTTCGTAGAGAGTAAAATGGAATCCTAAAATTTTCGGATTCAAAAATGTGATGAAAGAAGGTATCTGAAAAATTATCTCCTTCGTAATACGTTAAATTGCATCTAAAATTTTCGGGAAAATAATTCTGAATTCCTCGTAATTTCGAAAAGACTCTAGTTCCTCTAGAATGGCCGAACACTGAGATGCAAATTTTATAGTGCCACTTAGAATGCATTTCTATAGAGCTAAAAGTACTTTATGAATAGCTACAGAAGTGTTTTCCATTGAAAGTATTTGAGGAAACAGTCGTTGGGTGGCCCTGTCTCGTTGCCTTCTCCGCTTAGCATTACACGATATATTTTATATTTAGTATGAGCAAACTATAAATCATTAGCTTCGCTTTTAGCCCTCCTGACTAAATATACGTAAGCGCTGTTTAGAATGCATTTTTCGATCAAAAGTACTCTGGACAGCCTTAAATGTGTTTTCAATGCCTTTAGGGGGAAATCATCGTTGGGTGCCCCTGAGTTTTGAGACTGAATAATAATAATAATAAAAAAAGATATCGCGCACATAAATTTTACTTTACGATATCTTCAGCTGTATCTTCTATTCAGCTGCATAGCGGGGGCCAGATTTTGCCTTTTTCCTGGGCGGAAAATTCTCGTCCTCCTTCACCAGTTTGGACAACATATTATGGAGTAAGACGTTGTTAATCTAAGCAAATAAGTCTGGTAGAGTCAAGAACCTATGCAAGCGGCTGGACGAACAATGTGACAGCAGCTGAGACAGCGAACGTTAGAAGAATTCGAACTTGAAAACCAGGGCTGCCCTGTTGAAAACTTACGGACGGTCCCGCAATCGCCTTTTGTTTTCTGGTCAAAACTAACGCAGCTAACCTTCGGTCAGTCGATTGACCTAGAAGCAATAGTACCATCCCTCCCATAGCAAGTGCTGCATTGTTGCGCGCAACGCGGTCGCTAAGCTTGAATATTCACGTCGCGTCACGTCGCGTATTAAACCTGGTCGTTTGCGGTCATATCGAAGCGTAAAGGTCAACAGTGGTTGTTGATGAGCGAGCAATTATTGTGCAGTTGCGATGGGTTTTGTGGAGCAAGCGAGCCAGAAGCAGGAGCACACGTTACCTGCAGATTAGCCGATGGTTATTTGGAGCAGATTCGTCGATTATTCTCGAATTTATAGCGCTTCGTGTGAAGGCACGTGGAGATGGTCTGTTTGTTTTGTAGCCAGCCTTTAATTCTTCTTTAGTGGGTAGTACCTACAATTTCAAAACTCAACAAAATGCCGCTTAAACCGGCCAGGAAAGACAAGGATACGTTCAGTTGAAGGTATCTTAGCTTTGTTTTGTTATATTTTGACTTTTAGACTATTTTAGTCCATGGGAGTTTCGACGACTCATCGCAATAATTTGTCCATGTGGATATTAATATATTCATTCAGTGACACATACTACGTCTGGGCCGCCTGTGCATATAAGTGCTTTCTTCGACTAACTTCTCAATGTCATAAATTAGACAGTTTAGAACAAACAAAAAAAACTCCTTGGAGAGCATAGAAAGTGAGCACGATCCTATCACGTTCTTTCAAATGAAAAGCAACGGAAAATTTCAATGAAAATTTCCATTCTTGAAATTTCGCTTTGCAGTGTAAATTATTTTTAACACACTCAAATATAGCTTAAAAGCATATCACATTTTTTTACAGTAGACGTCAAACAGTCGTTATTCTTTCTTCGCTGTTTTCTTCAAGAAAACCTTCCTCACCTTCTTCTTGCTTATACCTAGCAGGTGTAGCCATTAAAGGCAATTTCTTGGGATTTTGTGACGACCGTTGGTTCCTGTTTGGAAGGTTTTCTGTAAATATGTTCACGGTGTCCCCTTGGTTATTTCGACGGTGTTTCGACCTTCCACGAAAGCATAAACGAAACCAGGCAACGACTCTTTTTGAAAGTACTCCATAGGCAATTGGATTCACACAACTATGGAAGATTGTTAAAACAGAAGTGTACTGGCGAACATGGCCTGCTATTCGGTTCGGCTTTGACTCGTCCCCTAATACCACCACTATCGTAGCAAGCCGATTAGGCAACATGCAGAACACAAATAACACGACAATCACGGTCAGAGTTTTCATCACTTTAATGTTTTCATACTTAGCTGTCCTTGTCCTGATTTCACCATTCCTCAAATCATATCTTCGGCTAGCTGTATGTGCTAAGTCTTTTGCGATGCGAACGTAAGCGTATACGATGGTCATAAACGGTGCCACAAACCTGGCGATGAATAGGCTTAAAGTATACGACTTTTTTAAGCTTTGACTTGGCCATAGTTTAATACAACGGTTTAAATATGAAGTAGAAACCAGAATGCTTGGTACAGCCAACAATATGGACAAAACCCACACGGCGGCTAGCCAAAAGTAAACTGAACGAGTCGAAATAGCTGGTTTGAACGGGTTGGTGATGGCGTAGCATCGATGAACCGCCATCACAGAGAGTGTGAACACGCTCACTCCAAAAGCTACCGTGATTAAAGGCGCAATGAGCTTGCAGAAGACCACCGAGGGATAAAATTTTCCGATGGTGATGTAGATTTGAAAAGGTATAAAAAATACTATCAGAATGAAGTCACCGATAGCAAGGTTAAGAATGAACAATTCGTGTGGACGTCGCCTTCTTATTGTCTTGAAACCAGTGACAATCAAGACACTTACGTTTCCTATACAACCAAGGATAAAAGTTACAATGTACAGACCGAAAGTCAATTTTAACCATAAAAATTGCCTGTCGTTATTATTAGGTACCAGTGACGACAACCTAAACCGTAGCACTTCTGATGATGTGTTGTTCATCCTATTCTTGTAGAGTTTGTTTGCTGTCTGCACCCTTTTAAGAATGTCAACTGTTCTTTTATCCCAAAATTGAGCAATTTTTCTGGCAAACGTACTTTAAGGAAGCGACGATCCATCTGTCTTATTCTTAAAATCTACTTCTTGTTTGCTGTCTATATGATAGGTGCACAGCATTCTTTTTGCAAAATTGAAAAACAAAAGCTGCAAATGAGGTGGAACTCTATCCTGCGGTGACATTATACACATATATGAATTGCATTTGGAAAAAACAAATTAGATCTGAGAAATTTTTACGACAGGTGCAATTGGAAGGATTGTTCCAAATCTGATTTTCAAACACAGCAGATATAGAATAAAATTATTTATTACAAAGCTGTCATCTACTTAATAGGTTTCAGATAAGAAAACATCTCTTAAAGAAAAAAGAAAATGGACTTATGGTGGGAGTGGTTCAGAAATAACTGAATTTTAAGACACAAAATGTGGTAAAAATACTGCTGAGCGAGATTATTTGTCACTGTGTCAAAATTACTTTTTACGAAGATAATTGGTTTGGTTTTTCAACCACCCGCCTTTCAGCTCGGCAAATGTCTCCTTTTGTTTGATTTGCACCCTGTAAAACTGTGAAGTAGTTTCTCGTTTCTGAGATCATCTTCTTCATATTATGAAACAACATTTTTATTTCATTATAAACACTGACCTTTGGTGAAAGATACTTTCTCAAATACATTTTATTGAACTAACTATCAATTGTTGATCTCATTTACAACACTCTACTTTTAATTTGTATAAGAACAACCACCACCTCTTCTATCACCGACACCGCCGCGCTATTACTGAACAAAAAAAAGTGGCGGGAGAGCAATACTGACCATCTCTTTTAATAATTAATCAGTTGAATAGAAGCGAACAAAATTAGGCTCTAGATCGCCCATGTAAGGTAATCCAAGATAGTCTTAGAATGATTCAACTTCAACTTCAACTTTATTTATTCAATCTCAATTTACAATTTCACGATAGCTTCCACCCGCTTATAGGAGAGCCTAATCGAGGCGGGCGAAGAGACACAAAAATTTAAAGAAAGGAAAGGAAAAAAGAAATATTTTACAAACAGTACCAGCTGCCGCAAAATAAAAACTATAGCATGTATTAAGCTAATTTACAATATGATTTACACAGAGAATATAAGTTTAGTCGTGTTCCTGAGCTAGTTAAATTTAAGCTGATGCATGATTTCAGTGATTTCAAGATAGTCATCAGATTTAGATAAAATTTCAAAGAGCTCATTCCTTATCTTTTTCCGAAAGGTAGATTTTCTCATATCTGAGGGTAAAGTATTCCAGATTTTTGGTCCAACTCTTAGAAAAATAACTACGCATTTTTTCAAGCCTTGAGTGTTCAGTATAGAAATCATCATTGAGAGAAGATCGGGTAGGATATGAGTGCACCTCAGGAATCCTAGTAAAGGCTCGCTTGATATTTTCAGGTGCAGAATTGTTAGCAACGTCCCACATGATACTACAAAGACAATCAAAGTAAATAAAAGATAGGAGAAAGACTTTCGAACTTAAGAAAAATGGTACAGAATGTTGCTTATAATCCTTAAAGTAAATCAGGCGTAGGGCTCGTTTTTGAATTAAGAGCATCTTATTTAAATAAATTTTAGGTGCAGAGCACCAAGCACAGATGCCATGATAAAGATAGGGGTTGATAAGGGCTTGATAGATATTTAAGAGAGGACGTAATGGAATATTATGTCTAAGCTTTGCTAGAATTCCCACGGTTCTACTTATCTTTAAACGGATTAGATTAATGGGATTCCACGTTGCAGATTCCGGATTTTAGATCAGGCTGGATCCTGGATTCCTTGTCAGCGGAACTTGGATTCTAGGTTTCAATTGTTAGCTAGAACTGGATTCCGTATTTCAAAAGCCCAGGATTCCAAATTCCAGACGCAAAAAATTTCCCGGATTCCGGAATCCCAATTACCTTACAATGGGGTGTTTCTAGATCTGGAACTTTAGATCACTTCGCGTGGCTTCCTCACGTAAACTAAATACCATGTAGGTAGTGAAATGAGGGAAGTAAGATGACGTTAAAGCATGCAGAAAAAATGTGCAAAGTTGTGACGACGTTGGTGAGGAGATAGAAGTTTGATACATAAAAAAGATATTCCGCAACTAGTAAAGCTCTCGCCAAAACAGCAAGCTTTTCGTGTCATAGGCATTAACCGTCTGTTTCACCTATGGTAAAAATAAATCACAATCACCCTAAAGACAAACAAAAGGATTACTTATTTCCAATTTACCCAAGGCAGGCTTTAGACGTCCTGAAAATGTTGTATTGTGGGGTAGTTGTGATGCGGGTGCTGAAGCACCTACTCAAAGTAGGTGGTCGTCTTCACTCCTTGTGTGACTAGATTTCTCTCTTAATATCATAGGTGACGAATTACTCCTTAATTTTGGCGCGAAATTTCAGCGTTAATTTGTAATTTCAGATGTGAAATTACAAAATTGCCTTGGCGACCCTTCCGTACGTCTCAGTGTCAAGATGGCGGCGAAGTTCTAAAATGCCGTGAATGAAGATGTCAGGGCACAAAAAGACGCTTTAGAAAACCTGAACACACAAGAGAACATCAAGAAGGATTCTAACAAGTACTTTGCCGAAAAAGTCTGAAAAATTCTGAACTTTATAAGCCAAATTTAAGATCTAAACATTTGAGAGAGTGGAGTTCTCGATCGATACGATCCAGGATAAACATGTCAAAAATCCAAGATTGCTAACGTAATTCGTCACCCATGATATTAATAGGTTAAAGGCTCGGGAAATTATTAGGATTTGGACAAAACGCTCGTGAAATTATTCCCTAATTTCACTCGTCACCATTTGATTACACATACTAATATTATAGGTGACGAATTACTCCTTAATTTTGGCGCGAAATTTCAGCGATAATTTGTAATTTCACGTGTGAAATTACAAAATTGCCATGGCAATCTCCCTTACATCTCAGTGTCAAGGTGGCGACGAAGTTTTAAAATGTCATGAATGATGAAAAACTCTTGCAGACCAGTCTGTAATTTGTTCGTGATATACTGTAAGTAGTAAAGCAGTCTTCTATATTCCAAGTGAGATAAAAATAACTCCTTTATTAAATTTTAACTATCATGAAGAATAACCACAATCTCTCTCAACTGATGAACTATGAGATAATCTGCGCAAAAGTGCTTGAATCTAACAAATCATTTATACTGGCTCACTACAATCGTCGCAGAAAAATGGAAGTGACTTCAGACACATTGAAAACCTGCTTCTAGTAATTCGCAAAACCAAAACATTTTCCTTTCCTCTAGCCTGAGAAAAACAGCCTACATTTCGCGACGCCACCACTGGTTTCCTCGCGAAATGACGTATGAGGAACCAACGTAAAAATTCCATACTGATGACGCGTCACTACCTAGATTTGGAGAGTACTTCTGATTGGTTGAAGCATACTTCAATTTTTGCATTATATTTTACAATATATGTGCATGACGTAATGAGCTATTGTCTCAGTTAAGTATATAAGTATATTAACCAACGTTAAGATCTTACTTTCTAATTTGATATCAACCATGACGAACCTTCCCTCTGGATCGGAAAAGGATTTCAAAATTTGAAAGTTGAAATTATTATTAAAAAGCACACATACTCCAGCGCTGGCGCTAGAGAAGCTGCTAAATATGGCAGAATACTCCCACTCCGCGGACCATATGTCAGGGTCGTAACATGGTATATCCGGGACCCATTGATGCCTACTTTCTTGCCGTTATTTTGATCCCTGAGCCCCATTTTCCCCAACATTTTGATCCCTGAGCCCTGATAAAGAAAATGATCCCATCCATGATTTTACACAAAATTTTAACTTAGACAACTTTGTTTATCTCCAAATATAGAATATAGAACATGCTCAAATGGGCTGATGAGAAAAACATTAACTTTAATTTTTAGTGCAAGTTGTAGGTTCTATCAGAGCATTAAAGACAATATGAGTAAACCTCTTTTTGTGCTTTATTCTATTTAAAACACTTTAAATATAATGTTTGGCGATACTAGACAAATGTTAAAACCTCATTTTCTTGAACGGGAGCTTTAGTAAGATACAGAATGTAAGTTATTGTTAATTTATACATTAAAAGTAGTCCACTTCCCTTTAAGTATCGTACATCTTGAAAGATCTTGCGGCGGAATCTTGATTTTTTTCAGATGTAACGTTCATCAAGAGTATTTATAAGGTTTATTTTCAGTGTTGCTCATACGAGCAAGGCCACCCGGAGGTTTATAAGCCAATCATCCCACAAGAAAGCATTGGATTCAAAATTCGAATAAATACAATTTAGTCAAACAGTAAACACAGCTAGCGCTGGTTGGTCCCCGGTTGAATTAACGTCACTGTTACGTACTTCTGAACTAAGGTCTTCCTCTAGCTTTCCAATTCCTGTCCCATACGAACATCTGCTTGCCCGGATAACTTGTCCAGTTAATCATTGTCCGAGCTGTGTGGGTCACATATGTTTTATTTCCAAAGAGACTCTTGCAACCAAAAATTTCACGTCGGCCGTGTTACTGGCCTACAATATTGATGTTAATAAAGTGTAATTGTTTGTCTCACGATTCAATCACTGAATGATGTAGCAGATCGCGACGTTTCAACTGCGTATATCAAGTGTTCATGAGAAAAAGCAACACTTAAAGACCTTGCCTTGCTAGTCTTCGTTGACTGGTCACACGTGAACTTATATGACTCCAAGATCTGGTTCTGGTTGGTCGATTATTAGCCGATGAGATTGGTGTATTTCTTACTCCACTGTTTGTATGAGCTTTTGCCTCACTGGTCCACTGTCGTACGGATCTCCTATTGCTGTGTTTCTTGATTAAGGGCAACCAAGCTTCTGGAATTTCTATTCTGCTATCCCTGTTGATGTTGTTAGAGTGTAGCCTTATGTGAATTTTCTCTTTCACTCTGTGTGTGTTACATTGAGGATCACGATCAATTACCAATAGTAAAATACCTGCTTTACATGAAGTAGAAAAATTAAAAGATGCAAGCCACAGGTTCTACAGTTTAACAGTTTTTCTGTGTCAAAAAAATTAATGGCTTTTCCTGGCTTAATAACCATTGTAGATTGACAGTGGACATATCTGGTTGTAGGTCTTCCAGACCTACTCCTTCCAGCTTCAAATCTAATTGGCTCTGAAAAGTTGTCAGCCTAAGCTTGCTCCCCTACCTCTTCTTCACCACCTGACGCAGGTGAATCATCTGATTCAACTGACCCTTGGAGCAATGCAACTAGGCGTTGCTCTTCAAGGCAGCTCAAACAGAAGTTGTTTCCATCTTTTATTATTTGAACTTTCCCGATGATACACTTAGGTGAATTTCTATCGTCACGGTGCCCAGTCTGGTATACAAGGGGATCTTCTTCTGACTGTTCCAGCCATCTCAAACCCATGTGATCTTCCTGGAATACGTCACCGTTATGGTGGAGATCTTTCAAAACAACTGCAGGGAAGAAAGGAATGATATACCTCTTGTAATTGTGCTTGAGAGCAACTATGTCGCCTTTTGAATAGGTAATCTCATATTCCTCGGCTACGTCTTGAAGTTTAGTTTGTCCTTCACTCCCTCGAACCTCTTTCAGCAGATCGACTTCCCCACGTGCCGACGCATTCCTTCTGAACATACTCCAAGCAAGTGGAAGTGTACCAGCACTTCCTTTGGTCTTCCCTCTCGTTCGTTGCTGTCGTACACCCCGTCCGAATTCTTTCGCAAAGCTCTGGAATGCCTTCCTTTGTCGTTCCTTTCCCTCCGCGCTCGTTTCCTCGTCCATATCCTCCTTTAGGTTTACTCTTGCCGTGCGACTTTCGAAGCCATTCTGGTGCCTTTGGACCCAGCTTTCTCTGTGTGTAATGGCCTCGAGGACCAGATAAATGAGGATTGGTAGAGCCTCTTTATTGATTCTAAAAGGCAGCTGGGCCGCCGTGATGCGTAGTCGTTCAGAGCGGGTGTTCTCTCTCCACTAAAAAATTCAGGCTCCAAATCTAAGGTAGTGATATCTTTCGGGGCCAACCGTTACAAGCCGAGGCCGAATAGCTCAAAGGGCCGAAAAAATTCTTGCAGATCAATATTGTCACTAAGATCTGTAAATTTTGTGCAAAACAAAATAGCCCCTGTACGAAAAAAATAACCCATCCCCGGCTCAAAAATCAAATAGTGGGCCCCTTACTGGTGACCCTTCTTGCTAAGTGCTATAATATATTAACTTCCTGCAGACTCTGCTACTTGTACCTAGTATGCAGCATTCCTTTCACCAATTCAACCGTTTATTTTATAAAAAAAAGCTAAAGAAAATAAAATATAAAGGTTTTGTTACTTTTATTTCACCGAGGTAAGTCGTTGGTGTTCCACTTTGACTTATTTTCACTAATTCTACACTGTAATTTCAGACTATTTATCATACAAGCATTCATCAGTTATACAGTAATGGAATGTGTCCTTTACTTTCCCGGCCCAATGCTAGTACTGGTAGGTGAACCGATCTCGGGTTCTCATCAGAGTTCGAGATAACCCTAAAACTCCATGCAATTAGAGCAGATTTATTAAATTACGAGAAAACATTTATTTAGCAACAAAGCGCGCGAATTCATATAATTTTTATTGCACTTTTGTATTCTACTTTTGACGTCTATTCTGACTAATTATTTAAGCACTTTTAAGAGTTCAGTTACTGGTCAAAAAATACGAACCTCGATTTATAGTCGCCTTGTGACTTGCTTGAGGCGATGAGACAAGAGGGACCTATACAGTAAATTCCGCTTTCAATGAATCGGTTTGTCTATTGTCCTGGCGGTATAAGTTATGTTTGATCGGCCGAAAAACTCTATGCTTGGACCCTTACCAGGAGTAAATCAGTCAAGGAAGTACTTACGTACCTATCTCTGTCACAGGATTTCGTTTTGTCCTTTTTCAGTCTTTCCCATTTCTCGCCAAAAAAGAGCTGTAAAATTGCTTTCTCTGCCTTCTGGCATTGACAGAGAGTTGATGAGTTGCGTTACAAAGCGAGAAAATTGACTTGAGATTCATATCACGGTGCCCTCAATAATTCAGGGGCACCCAACGAGGATATAGTTCAAAACCACTTAACATAGCATTGTTGAACGTAGTTTAGTATTCAAACGGTAGATATAGGCATATTTTTATCCCCTAAAAACTTTTCATCTGTTCGGATTTCCTAGCTGAAAATCTAGTGATCCGAATATTATAGGGATAAAGACTTACCTTCTCGAAAACTTCAGCCAGGAAAAGGCTCCCGAAAATTCTAGGTGGCCTTTTTTAGGGTCAAAATCCGTTAAAAATGGGTAATTATACCATTTTGTCGATGTTCGAAAATCGTAGGAGAGGCAGGCAAGCAAGAAATTTTACAACAAATGCTCCGAAAATTCTAGATCTCAAATCGTCTTCCGAACAGATATTTTCCCGAAAATTGCCGTTGGGTGCCCCTGATAATTAATAAATTAAGAATATGATACCATGTTTTCGTCAAACAACCAGGACTTCGTATGACAGGAACTGCCGTCAGCCGAAAGCAAGAATGGGTAATGCACCTTGGCCAGGAAATTCGATGGACACAAACCTTATTATGCGGAAAAATATTGTGATAAGAGAGTTTTAGACCGTGTAATAAATCTGATCCCTGATTTGGGCTCAAAAGCCTTGTGATCCCTGATCCCATTCTTCTGAGCCCTGATCCCAGTCATATTTTGGGCTGTGAGCCCTGAGCCCATATACCATGTTACGACCCTGTGGGTTACCTGTGATAGGTTTGTTTTCAGCTGACAGTTTCGCTGTGTTCTCGGTTTGATAACTTCGAAGAGTGCTGCAATAGCATTTACGGGGCTTTCAACGGAAACCAGTAGCGTAAAATTAAACTTGGATCGTTTTCTAGCATATGGAAGAAAGATCAATCGACAGATCTTGAATCCGGAAAGAAATCTTCGCATAAAGAGGGAGCGCATGGAGGTAAGCTTACAGTTCGCAAAACTTGCAGTGAATGTCCCTAACGCTAAGTTTATTTATATCGCCGGTGGTGATTTTTGCTTGTACTACTGGCGCAGTCATCGAAGATAAATTTTTTCTTAGACCTTTCTTCGACTGGACGCGACGACTACGAAACTTTTAGGAAACTTTCAAAAAGATTTGCCCTAAGGCAACAGATCACAGAGAGCCCTCTAGTTTTGTAAACACTATTATTGCTCACACCTTGCTCTTGTAGTGTATTTTTTTTTCTGTTACCACTATTAACATTCCTTTGAGCTTTTATAAAAAGCTTTAAAGCTCTATTGTAAATTTTTATTATAAAATATTAAAATCTATCAGGATCATGGTGCAATCTGAATGGTATGATATTTTAATATACAGTAAATTCCTTAGTATTTCCAACATTCTTGTCGCCATAAACCTCACTAAACAAAAGGTATACTTTTTTCAATTTTAGTCTTCCCAAAACTCAGAGCCTGATTTAAACTGCACAGACACAGTTCAAACCACAAGCTGAAGCAAGAGAGCCCTGCACACAAGTTTATTGTAAAAACTGTTTTTGAAATTTTGTAAAATACAGCAAGAATTATTACCATTTACTGATGTGGTCTGTAAAATAAAATTGTGATCCTATCTTGAATGTTGTGTATTGTTATTCTTTTGAGTGAATAATGAAAAGTTTTGCAATCTTGCATTGAATACTTATAATAATTATAATTATAGTATATCATAATTTGAGAAGTAAACTCCAGAGGCACTCATGCACTGAATCACTGAAGTGATGTGACTGGCAGATTGCAAATGAATAATCACCAAGGCTTGGTCACTGCAATATTTACTGCAACTGAGGGTTATGTACTACATGTATGAGATAGTTTCATGGACCCGCTCATCACTGCTGCTTTATGTTTCACTACTAAAGGTTGTGCTCTACCAGCACCCAGTTGGCCCGTGGTGCTTAACTATTGTTCCAGGGGAACTAGGAAGTTTTTTCATAGAAATCATGTGCTGGGCACCCAGGATTTCATGGGTCCAGAGCACTGGGCTCCTTTCAATTTTTCTTAGAGCACAGCCTTGCTACTTCAAAAAACCTTGGTGTATCTTTAAATATGGGATAGACTAATGTTATTCCTATAAATGAGGAAGTTTCATGGCCCCTTACCACATACACTGCACTGTCCACCCTTCTGTAACAATAAATGATCTGCACACTTGTTGATCACAAGACAAATGTGAGGCCCCAGCTAAGAACCTGGAGGACAAGTTTTGGTCTTACGTACCGTGTGCAATATACAAATCCATTATTTTTTAGTCATACCAGTGATTACAATAAACAAGTTAAGGGCTGTAATACTGTTTAAAGGCTGCAATTTTATTGCTCTTTGTTGCCTGATTTAGCATAGTCTATTTTGGGGTTATTATATAGCCTGAGCCAAGCTAGGGCAGGGCCCACACAGGGCAAAGGGGCTTCCACACTTTTTGAAAAATAAATAAAATTAAGTACAGTGGAACCTCGATATAACGAAGGGCCAAGGGACTGGCAAAATATGTTCATTATAACAAGGTTTGTTAACTTATATCGAGGTTCTTTTTCATATTGCCTTATATATTACTATTACCGGGGTAAAAAAAAAATAGTTTGTTAGACCGAGGACTTCGTTATAGAGGTTCCATTGTGATATACATTTTCATATGAATAGTAACTTTGTTGGAATAAGAATCTTCCAGCATCTAATCCCATCAGTCTGATGCATGGGAAGCCTCAAAAAGTCAATCGTCCTAGATTTCTGCATTTTCAAACCAAAGGAATGTAGCATTTGCAACAATGCGGAATAGTCTTTTTTGATGAAGGTTCTTGATTAAATCTGAAGAATTAACTCCGTGAACTACGGTTTCTTAAAACGAATTATATCAGCTGATGATGTGGTCTCTGGCACATTTCAATGAAATGCTAGACAAAATGAAGACGTTACAGGAACCTACAGTGTAATATCATGACCTGCAAACTTCTAATGGTGGATTCAGCATGTGCAATCACGCTCAGCAGGAGAAAGGTACTTCTCAGCGGCTTGAAATTTATGAACACGACTCTGCTCAACAATGACTCAAGAAAGGTTCAGTAATCTGACAGTTCTAAACAGCCACAAAGAGAGAACAGCCAAATTTGCTCTCAACCCCCCTGCCCCCACTTCAATGTAGGTGGTCACCGACTCGCGTATCCCAGGCCCTCTTAGGGGTTTTAACTCTTAAAAATGCTAGTTTCTAATCATATTTTACGATGGAAAAAAACAACAAGAAAAACCCACAGAGCACAATCAAGGATGGGCCTCCATGATGAACATAACTTCCACTGTGTAACACTTCTTCCTAGAGGCAAGTGAATTTATGGCACACTGTGTTATCAGCAGAATCGTGCAACCTAGTGATGTACTGAACCATTTAGTTTTTCAATACATAAAGTTAGTTGCAAATAATAATTTATTAATGCAGTGATAACCCACTCTATGATCTACAGACACCCACTTAATTGGATACCCATATATAACAGGCAGTTTTGTTTGTCCTGAGGAAAAGCATACATTTTTTCTTTAAAATTAACCAGCTTAGTAGGCACAGTAGTTAATGTGGACAACAACCACTTTTGTGAGGCCCTGCCAGGGGGGGCTCCCATGTCGCTCGTCTGAATTTTAAAACGTCTCGTGTCAGTGTTTATTAATGCTTCACGTCGCTGTCGGAAATTGAACGAAAATTCTTTGTCTTTGTCGGAATTTTAGAAAAGGGGGATAGCGATGCGTTGTAAAGAAACCATTACAGTTGTGCAATTTCTCAGTTAACCTTTTGCGTATAGAACACCTATACATCGCCATTCACAATTAAGGGTCTGTTCCTTTCGGTGAATCCAAAAACGGATTTTTGATCTGGTGAATCCTTTTTGAAAAAGGAAAAGGATTCACATTGGATTTGAAATCCGAAGAATCCGAATCCAGATTGACGGATTAGTGATCTACACTGTTCCATTCACAGTGGATTCGAAATTAGTCAGATGATCCAGCTGTATTTCCCGTAGAGTTTCCTAATTGCTGCCATTTGCCGTCAAACATCTGAAAACACTAGAAGCTTGTTCATAGTGGTACAGTAAAATATCTATGTGCTGACCATTTGTCGCTAAAAGGGACAAATAGCTGCTATCTTTCTACAAACTCGCTTGTGGACGCGATAGGCACTCCATCGTGTGACATAAAAAACCGAGCTACGAAACTGGATCAAACTGACCCGACAACCTTTAGATAATTTTCAACTTTAGCGCGCTCCTTTCTTGGTCTGTTCAGTATGTTTCATCGTTGTTATTCGAACTGCCGACCACAAAATTCTGTACGGTATAATCGCATAATTTGTCAAACAGTAGAAAAAATGTCATTTCTTGATAGGCTGAGGCTGTCATGCATATTGCACGCGTTTGCGAAAGGTTACCAAGGTCACAAATCCAATTTCGGATTTCACGTTCCTTTCGACCGCGAAATCCGGCAAATCTCGGATCAGAAATCCGTTTTTGGATTCGCTTAAAGGAACACTGTCAACACACCCTAAGTGATCCACGTTCAACATTTTAAGACTAACTGACCTGATAAATCGCACGTGAAGGCCGGTTAACGGTGGTCTACTCTGTGAGATCGGTTGGAAGGTCGCTGGTTAAGTTACGTGGTCCCTGGTCTCTCCACCGTTGTCACCGTCGGGCAGAGGTCGACAAGGATGTGAGAAGTTCAGGAACAAGCAAAGTATTCACCATTTTCACATAGACCATAATGCACCTTGTTTACCTCCCCAAAACTTTGCATAACCATTGTTTTCGATTTCTCTTGGGACGACTGTAATATCCTGGAGAATTTCGAAACAATGGTTATGCAAAACGCTGAGGGGGAAAACAAGGTGCATTATAGGGGTGTCTGTAAAACGCGGACCGGATACCTGCGGATGGCGGATGCGGATGGGAAAATGCGGATGGAAGAAAAAATGCGGATAACAAAAAAAGTAAGAAGAAGAAAAAAGAGAAATGTGGATGGCAAAAAAAATAATAAAATAAAATAAACAAAGAAACAGTTAAGGAAAGAAATCTTTCTTTCAAGTCGCTGTCACATGGTTGGACCCTTCACTTACATACAGAACGTGATGCCAATAGTTGGCACAGTTATTTTGTACCCTGTAATTCCTTTCATTAATGTCACAGAAATAAGGACGCTCCGTTCCTCCTCCTTAAATGCACACGTACATGGTGCACTTCTCCTTTGAGAGTTTAGCCTAAGGTTTGCAGGCAAGGTAAACAGCTCAAAAAATCGGCTAGAAAAGGTTTGCTTATTTTGCACTGGCCTCTTTAATATTCTTCTCTTTACCAAATAAGGAGCCAGTGGTCCCTGCAATCACGGGTCAGAATGCAGAATATTACCATACCAGCATCCTAAAGCGGTGTAATTCACGAAGCAGTCTGTCTTTACTTTCAGGATCGAGTGATCGCTATTTTTGTTAACATTTACTTTATTAGGAATGTCATTGTTATCACGCTAAGAAGGGGAGGCATGATTTCTTTGCTCCTACTGGATATAGTGTACTCAACTTACAGAAAGGCTATTCTCAGGGCAATCAAATCAAGACTTATTCATGTGTTTGAGCGGCTCAAGACAAAAAAAATTGCAGCATCAACCAGAAAAAAGGCCGAACGTTCCGATTTGGCATAGGCGGATCAGGCGGAGTTGATTGGCATCTCATGTGGATTTATTTTTTACAAGTTCTACCCTTTGGGAATTTATAAGTGCACGAATAATGAGTTCGAATTTTTAAAATTGCAAAATATACTGCAGATTAAAAAGAAAAAAAAACAGACTTCTTGATCAAGCGCAAAAATTATTTCCCGAAAAGGTGTAAAAATAATCTGCAAAATTAAACTCCCGCAAAAAAGTGTCGCTTGGAAACGCATTAATGAAGGCTACTTTCTGTTTCATTTGTTTTTGTTTCGAATTTTTCTGTTAGCAAAATAGTTTCGAAAACATATCCTCAGTGAGTGTTTAGTTTAAAAGCGTGAAGGGCAGAATTCGGAATCGAAAATAATTTATATAATATTCGAATTATTTGGCCCGCTCCCGTCTCCCGTCTATCTGCGAAGCAGCGACCAAACATATTTTTTCTACATGGAAAGATGTTTCATTATTACAAATCAGAAAAAAAACAAGCGGCTTCTTAAGAACACTATATAAATTTTTTAGCTATGTCTACACCAGATCAGCATTTTTTATATGTTGATGGAAGCTTTTCGTAAAACTGTGAAAATGGAACGAAGGCCAGAAATATGACTCCGTTGAGGGTGCGGCATATTGCTTGAAGATGAATTTCTGTAGAAAAACCCTCATTAAACAAGACCGATTCACACAAAACCGAGAGGAAATTGTGTAACAGAAGACCACTGCAGTTCTCAATCACTCTCTGAACTATCTGCTATGGCAGAGTCGACCAGAGTCAAGGCAGAGCGAAAGTTGATTTGTATTATGAGCCCTTTTGACGATCAGGCTCCTTTGTGAGGAAACATGGCGATTTAGCGGGGCAAGCGTGAAATAGGCGGCGCAAAGCACGCCGATTTTTTCGCGTACTTCACCCTGTTTTTTGGTATAGTTTGTTTTCTCTAATTTCCTTTTAATTTGAGCAAATTCAGTCCGTTTTTGTTGTTGTTGTCCGAACAACGTTATACACGTTTTGTTTTGTTAAGAAATGTTTTAGTGACACAATTTATATATCCAAATTTGTGTTTTTTTGTTTTTGTTATTGTTCACAATTTTTTCTATCCTCATTTTCCCATCCACATCCGCCATCTGCAGGTATCCGGTCCTTGTTTTGCAGACACCTCCTTTGCTCGTCGATTTTTTGAGCTGTTTACCTTGCATAAAAGCCATAAACTAAACCTTTAGGATGCTGGTATGGTAATATTCTGCATTCTGACCCGTGATTGCAGGGACCACTGGCTCCTTATTTGGTAAAGAGAAGAATATTAAAGAGGCCAGTGCAAAATAAGCGAACCTTTGCTAGCCGATTTTTTGAGCTGTTTACCTTGCCTGCAAACCTTAGGCTAAACACTCAAAGGAGAAGTGCACCATGTACGTGTGCATTTAAGGAGGAGGAACGGAGCGTCCTTATTTCTGTGACATTAATGAAAGGAATTACAGGGTACAAAATAACTGTGTCAACTATTGGCATCACGTTCTGTATGTAAGTGAAGGGTCCAACCATGTGACAGCTACTTGAAAGAAAGATTTCTTCCCATTGTTTGTTTGTTTATTTTTTATTTTTTTTTTGCCATCCGCATTTCTCGTTTTTTCCTTCTTACTTTTTTTGTTGTCCGCATTTTTTTCCATCCGCATTTTTCCATCCGCATTTTCCCATCCGCATACGCCATCCGCAGGTATCCGGTCCGCGTTTTACAGACACCCGCATTATAGTGTATATGAAAGCAGTGAAAGAGATGTAAAGCGTACGTGAAGTTAAACTATTTGACGGACAACCTAGTTCCAAGGTCTCCCAGGAGTTGTGCGGGGTAGCGTAAATGAATACGCGAAGGGCCAACAGCGACGCACTCAGGATGGTCCACTGAAACTCCCTGACGATAGACAATCTCTGAAGCACAAGGAAAATTAACAAAACTTACTTCTTTATGGCATTCAGACTGGTGATAAATTAGCCAAACCACCGTTCTTTGTCGCATATTCTCGGCTTTGCCGTCACTGTCGCAATTTGGCCGAAGGAGGTTGTCGCTTGTCGCGATTTCATTTTAGGCTCTGTCGCTACTTTTTGGGCCATGTCGCTTGTCGGAATTTACCCTGGCAGGGCCTCTTTTGTGTGTTTCAAGTCAGAAATTCCTATATATTCTTAATCCAGCTTTACAGACACTGGTTACCCAGGCACTTTCTATTTTTCTTGTCACAATGATGTGCCAATTGTAGACATTGTACCAAGCTCACGGGTTAATAAGATTTTATTACCAAAACATCTGCAGCCAAATAGCATGACACATTTGATTTTGATACGTCTTTCTTTCTTCCCCTGTTTGTAGTCCTTTGATAAATTTTCTGCCTCCTACTCAACAAGTTTCATGTCCTTGGCCTTTTGCTACAGTCATTGTTCCTACCCTTCTTCCTCCTTGTTCCTTTATGCTATATATCAAATAAATCACGTGTCTGTGACTTTTTTCCAGAGAGCTAACTTAATATATTTAATACACTACTGTATATATTTTCTTGTCTAGCCAAAGCTTCAAAGCTCAGGTCCCAGTAAAGAGAGCATCCAAAAATATGCACACCTGGGTTTGAATAATAAATGAATTTAAAGAAAAACGTCACATACAACAATTTCATAACGTAATCTATAAAAGTCATAACAGGAAGAGCCCCGATTTTAAGTACTAGGCGACTTTGAAAGACACGTGCTTCACATATTTGTGGCGGATTAGAATGCCGGCTTGGTTAGAGGCCCTTTGTTTAAAACATGGCGGGATACTCGCAGCTTAAGGCAAGCATGTGCCTTGTAGCTGTCAACATAATGCTTTTTAATTACATTCTGTCATAATTAACAAAACCCGATCCATGTTTGATTGAAAGTAATTGTACAAATCTGGTACCAGACAAACCGCTTTTAAAAAACAAAACAACAAAACTAGTTTATGGTTATTTCTCATTAATTTCACTTATCAAAACAAATATTTACTTTTATCAGTTTTCCCGTTTCTTTCAAAACATCCTTCATTTCCGGGCGTTTCACTGTAGTCAATGAAAGACACGTTTTATCGGTCTTCTTTTACGCGGGAATATCAAAATTTCCATCTTTCAAAACGCGATGAACCGAAGCTTGCAGGGTACCAAAGCGCCAAAGGCGCACGATGCAGTCCCGGTGTTTTGTGAGCACCCGTTATGAATATTGAACGCCAAAACTATCAAGTTTTGGTACAGTGACATGCAGCTAGTTTCTGTATCCAAAGGTTAGTGCATGGACAGGCTATCGAAAGAAACTGATGGGAATACAAGGGGATATCATTGACAATAGTTGGAGGAGTTAAAATCTCTGAATTTCTATTAGTGTTGCAATTTATAAGTTGCATAATGATCTGCAGTCAATCGATAGGGAAGGCATAGGCAGACACAACCTTCTAAACCACCACATGTACACACTTTGGGATCTGACAGTCTTTATTACAAACATAAACACGTAAACCTAGTACACCTATTGAAAAATACTTATTCTAACTTATGATCAAAGTCCTAAAATAGAAACAGAGACACGAAACAAATTACGTATACGATAAGAAGACTGTCCGTGGGAGCGGTGGGAGGGCAAAAGAAAATTTTACTTGAAAAGCTAAAATAGGCTTGCTAGATAGAAGTGCTTGCCTGCTTGGAAAGACTAAAATGCGCATAACCCTAGTTGTCCCAGCTCTAAGAATTGCTACGCTCTAGACTTGTCGCATAATGATTGGTTACTAAAAATCTTGTGACTACTGCTGGGTTGTAGTAATTTTACTAAACTGGTGTACTTTACCTATGACCAAAAAGACCCGCCAGGCCCCCCGTGCGAACGTCGGACGGTGGTCTAGATTTATATTAATACAAGTATCAATATCCACCTAAACCACCACATGTACACACTTTGGGTCTGACAGTCTTTATTACAAACATAAACGCGTAAACCTAGTACACCTATTGAAAAATACTTATTCTAACTTATGATCAAAGTCCTAAAATAGAAACAGCCCAAACCCAAGTGAAGTGATATGAGTGTGAAAATTAGGTGGAGTGAGATAAAATGGATTTACAAAGCATATTAGCTGTTTTGAGTCTGATAGTAAGAGGCATGGTTAGATAGATGAGGATGGTATCCGAGCGCCAGTCGCCTAATGCTTTAATAAGTTCTATCGGAACGCCAGACTGATAAGCAAAGGACGCCCCCCCCGCGACGAAAAGAGTGACCCGCATATAACGTAGGATCGATACCAATAAGGGAAAGGTGGTCCCTTAGCTTACGTAGAAATAATGCATAGGTAAAAATCTGTGGGTCGGATGAAGGGGTTGGGACCCAGTTGAAGGCTTGGCTGTCTGGGGTAGAAGGGGTGAAGCTAAAGGCAAGAATAATGGCGGTGGTCGGGCATAACCTGCTGCGGGGAATACGTGGTAAGGGTATTTCCACCACCCGTTCCCGAAATTGAATAGTTTTGCTCCAGCGAATAGTGATGAGTGTACCCCAGGAAAAAGCCCGAAAATCAGCTTTAGTAAGCTGCTTGCTAGAATCAAACTTGCCCAAGGAAATAGGTAACAAGTGCGCCTTACGAAACATGCCAAAAAATGCGACTAAACAGAATGCCCAAAATGAAGCATCGAAGCTGAGGGTAAAATTTAACGTAGAATGGAGACGCAAAAGTATAGCCTCAGTAATAGGTAGTTTTTGATTTGGCGGGGCACCTACGGCGCGCTTGATTCCAGTGAGCAAAGATTTTAGAGGCCAGTTGTCGATCAAAGGGTTGGGGAAGCCAAACTTCTTATGTAAAATACCAATAATGTGTAGGTAGCCACGAAGAGATTGTGGTTTTAGCGAACGAGCCAAAAAGGCGGCATATTGAAGAAGATGTGGTGTTTGCACAGGAACAGGTGTGTAGCCCATGCGATTGCAGAAGCGAAAGTAGGTGTTGCGGTGGGTTTTGTAGGTCGCTTTGGTAGACATGGCGAAAAGCTGGGAACGATAGTACTGAACTTCCTCTGTGAGCTGTGCTGCTAGGGTAGGATCCCGTGGACCTGAAAGAAAAGGTAGTTAACGCTGTAAACAGACATATGCGCGGCCAACGGGACTGAGTTAGCAGAAACGGTAGAAAATTTACTACAAAGAAATGCGTAAAAATTATGAAGGCCGGTAGTCTCATGCGCGAGATAGAATCTGCGAGGGCGTTGTCAGTGCCTGCCAAATAAACTGCAGTGATGTGAAAATTGTAAAGAGCCGAAAGCCAAAATAGCGTGCGCAAGGCGTTCATGACAACAGGACTGGCGGTGGTTCCTTTGTTGATGATCTGCACAGCAGCGTGGTTGTCACTATGGATAACCACGCGTTGATGGGACCACAATGGACCCCAGCGTTGTGCGGCGAGTACAATTGCCAGGGTCTCCTTGTGGTTTATGTGAAGGTTCTGCAATTCTGGGGAGTCCAGCGAGAAATGATGATAGAACCAATCACCTCTGAAATAGCCACCAGCTGCAACGGGACATGCATCAGTGGACACGTCGACTGTCGCTAAGCGATCTAGAAACATCCTAGTGCCATTAAAGATGCGTAGAAAATTCACCCACCAGGCGATATCGCTGCGAAAAGAGGAGTCTAACCTGAATTTCCCAGAAGGGCTCAACGCATTCATGGCATCAAGAATACGGCGGAGAAAAGTACGGCCCCCATAAACGACACGACATGCCCAATTTAATTTGCCGGCTAACCGTTGCAGTTGTTTTTTGCTCGCACGTTGTTTGTTTTGAAATTCGAGGACGACGGTTTGTAACTCTGCCAGTTTATCCGCCGGTAAGGTCATAGTGCCAGCCATGGTGTCGAGTTCCACACCTAAAAAGGTTAAGCGCTGAGTAGGCGGCACCAGTTTATGTTCACTGAGGGTAAAACCAAGGTCGATCAACAGTTGAAAAAGCGTGTCGTATGCAAGCTGGCATTCTTCTCGTGTGGCGCCAATCACGAAGAAATCGTCAAGGTAAACGATGATGTTAGGGAATCCTCGTCTGGCCATCATACGGCGGACCGATTGCGTAATGCGATGAAAGATTTCCGGTGAGCTTTTGGCTCCGAAAGGAAACGAGTATCGTAAAAATAAGTATAGCTATGATCACCAAGAAATTGCCACTTGCACCCGGTTGCTTTATAATTGTCGGGGTGAATGGGAACAGAGCGGTATGCATGCCAGAGGTCAATTTTTGCCATATAATAGTTTGGCCGCAGTAATGTAGTAGCGTCGTCAAGAGTTTGAAATTTAAAAGAATTGGTAGTGATGTAGTCGTTTACAGCCTGTCCGTGCGGACGAGAGCAATCATGGATGAGGCGAATTTCAGGGAAATTTGGTTTAGGAATAATAGGAATAATTCTAACAGCCAAAGATTGCGGTTAAGGGGACTATTACTTAATTTATGTAGGGGTAGTCATTGCGGTGTTTGCGCGCTTGGAGGTTCGGCAACTTTGTGAGAGAACCCTGGATGAGACATGGCACAAGCCTTCCCTGCAATCTTGCGATTACAGACATGGGCAAAATTACAATTTGGGAGTGTACAACCCCTGGGCCCATTAAAATTGCGGCAGATAACCCTACCATCTGGCGTAAAGCTGGCAAAGGCGTTGCGCTGGTAGGTATTAGAAGCAGATGGTTTAGTAGTGGCTGTGGGTGGGTTAGGTTCATAAATGGGCTGAAGTAAAACCGTATGCAAATGCGTGGAGTCAAAACTCCATGAAAACTTATAGATAGCCTGCAATTTCCTAAACTCATTATCGTACATAAGAATAGACTTCCAATCGTACCTAGCTATCAATTCCATTATTTTGACCGTGTAGGCTAGATAATCTTGAATAGCCGATTGAGTAGATAATTTGCCCTTTTAGAGTAAGGTATAAAAAATACGAGTGTTCGCAACCACCCACTGTGGGATAGAAATGGACTCTAATTTTGGCTTTTTTGGCCCATAAGTCACCACAATTTTAGCACTTCCTTGGTTGCCCAAGGTCTCTTCCTCTTCTTGGGGGACAACGTTATTTACATAGTCTATCATGAGCCATGGTTTCTCACCCTTCGCTGTCTTCATGGGTTTGAGAAACATTTCCGTACTCGACGGCTGGTGAGATGACTGCACGCGGCCGCCTTCACAAGCTCCAGCACGCTTCCAAATCGTGTCCGTGGGGGCTGATCTTCCCAACCAGCCAAAAATTCGTCAAGAGGGGTTCTGCCCTCAGAATCGCTGAAATCCACCTTCGGTAGATCCTTGACTGTCAAGCGGGGGGTGTTGTCCTCACCAGCAGCATCTCCTTAGCCAGATTTTCGGAGCCTCTCGATGAGCTTTCGCTTATCCGCTATCCGTTTCCGCATGTTCGACTCTTCCTCCTAACGCCGCAATTCTTCTTCTTCGAGTTCTAAGGACTCTAACTCAGCTGCCAAGGCGGAGAAAACTGTTTCGCTCGGAGATGAAGTTTCCACTTCGTTTTTAGGCGAGGATTTCTCGAACCCCTCGCAAAACTTTGAGGGAATACCCCAATGGTGATCTTTTATAGGCGTTTTACACCCTGGACATTTTACGACTCTGCGATCTGCCTTGAGGTCTGAAGCAGTTGCCATGATCAAAAGAAAATTTTACTTGAAAAGCTAAAAGAGGCTTGCTAGATAGAAGTGCTTGCCTGCTTGGAAAGACTAAAATGCGCATAACCCTAGTTGTCCCAGCTCTAAGAATTGCTACGCTCTAGACTTGTCGCATAATGATTGGTTACTAAAAATCTTGTGACTACTGCTGGGTTGTAGTAATTTTACTAAACTGGTGTACTTTACCTATGACCAAAAAGACCCGCCAGGCCCCCCCCGTGCGAACGTCGGACGGTGGTCTAGATTTATATTAATACAAGTATCAATATCTACTTCAAAAAACATGAGCTATAAAGAATGTGACAGTCTTTAATGTCAGCACTGAAAATTATTAAATTGATATACCAAATCAAGAGCGAGCGATCCCCTTATTTATCTATTTATATTGAAAATGAGTAAATTAACTTTTCTGACAGAGAGAACTTAACATTAAATCTAATTTTAAAATCCTCAGCTCAGATACGCAACACTAAAGTAACAATTAAATTTTCAATAATAAAAGAAAGCCGTCCGTTTAAGATGGTAAAAAAAGACACATGCATGACAACGAGCTGGCTGCTTTAGAACTGAAACTTAGCTGAACTGAAAACGTCACCCACTCTGATTCGCTGTGCCTGAAGAGCTATAAAGCAAAACTTTATCTTCACTTGGACTGAAATGAGCACTCGAGAGTGGCTAGAAGGCAGGTGAAATTGGTGCTGACTCTCGATCGTCTTGCCTGTGTATTATTATTATTATTGCCAGTACGTATACAAATACACCTACCAGTAGTCCGACTCTCCGTCGGCACAAACTGCATAAAATACGACTTGGTAGAGTGTGTTTTTTCCTTCTCTCAGGCTAGCTGCCCTTAGTATTTGACTTTCTCATATTCAGTCGGTGCTGGTTCTACAGAGTCATCGTAATCTATGATTTCCTCCTTCACAATTCCAGAATCGGGCGAAGACGAGCGAAGCTTTGAGAATCGCTCGCTGTTTTCTCACGGTTCAGGTTTGTTTTCTTTGCGTGTTCAGAAAATGACGTCACAATCAGAGAACAATAGCTTTGTCACTGGAACATAAATCATTTTCAATCTCAATATTTTCACTTAGAGGGCGCCAAAGTTCACTTCAATGACCGAAACAGGTACAGCCACTTCTGATAAGCTGAAAAGAAAGCGTTTTTGTAACAAACTTGACATTAAATTTTGATCGTAGTAGCACTTTAAGGGTTCTCTTGATCTTGCTCCTTTGTTCTTCGTAAGCATTGTTTTGTCTCGCTGACAAATAACACATTTGTTTATGTCAAATGCATCAACCTGGAACCTTAAAATAAGTTTTGCTACGGGAGGCTCGGTGACAGAATCAGAACTGTCATTTTATTTTATAAGTACTGAGATTTATCCACACAGATGACAGTGATGAAAAAATCGTTCTGCTTTTAGTCGCAGCCAATCAGCGACGCGAACGATGAAATTTCGCTAGTGAAAAATCATCGTTCGCGGCGTCTGATTGGACGAACGATGTTTATCAAAAGTGAAAAGTGGTCGTACGGCAAGCCTTGTCATCCTTGGTGCGAAAACTGGCAAGCCGCCTTTTTATTTTCAAGATGTCGGGAAGGTTTGTGGACGTCGGTTCAGTTGACAATTTTATTGCAGAACAGGAAAACAAAGCCACATTACAAAAAACACAACGAGAGGTAAAACTTTTGCAAACCTTTTTAGGAACCAGGAATGAACTTAGAAAAGTTCAAGAAATTCCAGGATTGGAGTTAAGCGAATACATCTGCGAGTGTATCATTTCGGAACCAAAGATCAAGAACCAAAGTTGGAAATTCATTTTCTGAAAAATTTCCTTCTTGGCCTCCCTAGGATTTTCGAACTTCAAAACAATTATAATTGCCCATTTTTAACTGATTTTTACCTTAAAAAGGTTTTTTTCTGAACGACATCTAAAACAGATGAAAAATTTTTAGGGATAAAAATAAGCTTTATCTAACGTTTGAATACTCTTCAACAATGCCAGTATCATTTTGAACGACATCTAAAAAGAATGACCCTCGTATTTGCGAAAACAAGAAAAGTCCTCCTGTCCAAACAGAAAGAGTTACAGAAGAAAGGAAACTGAGGAAACACGCCAAACGCTTCGATAGCAGTGACAGTGGAGGACAGTGACGTCGAGTAAAAACATTGCTATGATATGAATATGTTGTTATGTATCACTAGCTTTAAAATTTCCTCTTTTCCCTTTGCTGAAATTTTGAAAAGAAAATGTTGAAGTTTTTACGTTTTCGAATGAATAAAACTCATTTTATTGTCTAGACATTTTGAAAAGATGTTGAATTTTTAAAGACCGTATGAGTAAATAAAACTCATTTCATTGTCTTATCGCTGTTAATTGTCATTATTGTTTGCAAGAAATCTCAGTACTTGAATAAACAAATAACTTCATGGTTGGTTCGCTTGTACGATTTTTATTCACTTGTTGTGAAGAATCGCAAACGAACGAGTGAGCGCAGCGAACGAGTGAGTTTGCGACTCTTCACAACTCGTGAATAAAAATCGTACGCACTCACCAACCATGAAGTAATCTCTATATCTTCGAGAGAGTCTTCACTGAGAATATGAAGTTGCTTCTCAACGGTCCTAATATCAGTGTATAATTGATAACGTCATCGTCTGTGATATTGGCCCATCGGCCCTTCCTCCCTGAAACCCTTCACCTTGGCCCATATAGCATCTTTCCGTTCCTTCGCACGTGCTTGTAATCTTAGCTGACCAATTTTCTAAACGTTGGACAACGTCCCTGATTCATCTTGTACATGACAGAAACATTAATCCTAGTTTGGAGGTTGTCGGAGCTGATGTCGGTTCTTGAATGGGATGGTTGTACTGAACAGGATTAAGGTTATTTATCCTGCCATTGCCTGTCCTGTACGTCATCCAAGGAAAGAAAGAGACTATAACAGTATAAATGACAAGAGGTAATATTCTAGGTAAATAAATACAGTTCCATGCTCCTGTAAAAGTACGTTATTTTCCTTTTTTCAAATCACATTATTTACTTTTAATAGTACTAGTTCATTATAAGTTTTTAAAACTTTGTTTAAAAAAAATAACGTGTTTATGTCAAATGTTCCATAAAAATGTCTAAAATAGGTGGATGTAAGACACCACCTCTACACTAGACATCTATAAAAAGATAACACGAAGCCAATTTGCAAAAAAGAATAGGCAATTTCTTACCTTCTGCTGATTCACCAAATTTCCAAGATGGTGGACCCTGCCATGTGGTTGCTCAAACCGATGCGATAACAAGTAGAAACACAAATTAAAACAATTGATTTTTTCGAGAGAACTGGGTTGCAAACATAAAAGAAATCCATTTCTAATTAACAAAATAGTGGGAATAGGTTTTTTTTTCGGGTTTTCATAGTGATGGGTGCGACGGCTTGGCAAAAAAAAAAAATATTTGAAAAGTTTGAAATGTGACAAAATACTAATTTTTGGTATATTTTAAAAAGTGTTATCAACTTCGGGCGAGTATATATTTCGTGATTTCTATTAGAGTTTTTGTATTAGTAAAGCAAAATGTATCCTCTCCTTTCCTATCTATCTCCTTTATGCGCACCAGTTACCGTCCTGGTAACGAGTAGATTTAAAATATTCAGTCCTTCAGCTTTAATTTGATACCAATTTCACTAGGTACCAAGGAGGATGCTACGAAAATCCATTTTTAGCTTTCTTTTTGAGAATTCGCTTATGGACTAAAAAGACATCTCTGAATGACTTTTTTGAGTTAAATTCGCCATTATTTTATTTGGATAACCTAGGAAATCGTCATTTATGTTACCTAGAATTACAACGGCTATCACTATGTTTTCAGCCTCATACAAATTAGGAATAGTCAGTGACAGATATTTTTCGTTGTCATGGTGTTCTGGCTTTCATCTACCGCCTGAGAAATTCTTCTAGCTCCAGGTTTCCAGTTCAGACTTCACCGTCACCATCTTATTATACATTTTTTTTTTCAGTATATACAACCTGTAACGTGACAAAAACAAAGAAATAAATCAAATCAAATCACTTGTTGCAGACGAAAACAGATTTCAGATATCTGATGTATTGTCGCCGAAAGAACTTAGTTATAGTTCCGTAAATGATTGGATTCACGCATGCGTGTAAATACGCTGCAATATCAGCTATCCGTAGCAACACATTGGCTACTTTCTTATATTCGGCAGGTCCAAAGTCCGATATAAACCACGCCAGTTGAATTGGCAGCATAAATACTGCGAACAATATAACAATAATTCCCATCATCTTGATGATTTGAAGATCCTCTTTTCGCCGTATTTTTAAGCCAAACCGATCCTGTGCGTCAGAGTCATGGCGCTTTTTCGCCCTGCCTATTTCAATCCCAATCATGATATAAGCACCTGTGATAGTTATAAGTGGTATGACGTACTGTAATGCAAACAATGTAGCAGTGTATATGCGACTTTGGTACGGTCTCCAGGATTCTGTACATCCTCCTCTCGTAGCCTCTCCCACTATTATGAGTGGAAGTAAAAGAAGAAACCCAGTCATCCAAATGAGAATAATCCACATGATAACATATTTATGTCGCATTTCCGGTTTAAGCGAATTGATGATGACTCGGCAGCGGTGAACTGCCATAAAAGTCAACGTAAAGATACCAACATTAAACGTAACTGTGACGAGGGGGCAGATGAACTTACAGAAAAACAGCGGAAAATCAATCCCACCAAAAAGCAAGACGTTAACGGGTAAAGAGAGCAGCAGCAGCGTTAAGTCAGACGTGGATAAATTAAAAATAAGTATATCGTTTACGGATTTGCGATGCTTCTTCCAAAGAATGACAAGGACTAGCGAATTTCCAGTAACTCCAAGCAGAAATGTAAGCGCGTATAAAGCCAGCTTTATCTGTTTTTCTGTTTCGCTCACTGATGAGAAGTTCGTAGGGTGCCCAGCCATTGATACTAGTGTACATGTAAAAAAAGAGAGACTTAAGGTGAGACATGGTACTGTAAATTCTGAAATGCAAAACTAACTTACATCCTATCTAGATCAATCCGCTTTTTTTCGTTAAAAGTGCATAGTTCCAACTCGTTTTGGTTTTACATCAGAGAATTTCAAAAGCCGGCTACCCAGTCTAGAACCTTTTGAATGGACTACTTGGTATGTATTAGTAAAACAGGGATGCTGAAACCTAACAATGGGTTTGTTCATGGAGAAAGAATTGCCGTGGAGATAATTTTGTATACTGTATTCGCAAGTAAATGAACCACAAGCAGGCAAAACCGAAACCAGTAATCAAATTAGACAAACCTATTATAAACTTAACACAATTTTCTCAGTTGATCAAAGTTAAAAGATTTTATGTATGAGAGATAAGAGAGAGACAGTTGATGCTGGTTTCCGTGGTTTCCAAGTTTGACGTCGTTCAGCGAATTTTTCCTGACTGTCATGTCCCCCCAAGGTGAAATTGCTCCTTACTTCGGTCCCGACGAAAATTCAAATCTCATCGGAAAGAAGTAATCGGTAATGTTGAAATTTGTCGCGCGTAAAAGCTATTGTTTCTCGCTGATCGTTTTTGTCCCTAAAAGGAAAGAAACGATCAAAAAATAACAATACAAAACAATACCTATTCTTCTCGAATTCAGATCCGGTTTTAAAACTTGACATTTCTTATTACAGCTTAAGTTTAATTTTTTTGGCTCACTGCTGTGTTCTCATTAGTTTAGTTTCAGTTAAACCTTTAAAAAATCTTTGTCAGGTCAGCAGACCTCAGATAGCAAAGCCTCGCATTCCGCTCTGAGTTAATGGCAGGGAAGAAATTTTATTAAAGGATACAAAATACCGTGCATTTTACCTTTTATACTACTGCATGAGAAATTTCTGCAATTTGATTGGCTCAGAGCAGTGGTATTTCAGCTACATGTGAAAATTACAACCCTTTTGTGGGTAGGAGTATAAACAATAGCATGATTTGTACGTGATATTTGGCATAAATACCACTCGTGACATTTCAAAATTGTCTCAAATTTCACTCGCCTAACGGCTCGTGAAATTATGTATAACAATTTTGAAATATCACTCGTGGTATTTATGCCAAATATCACTACAAATCATGCTGTTACCTATACATATTGCTCTCTGGAGCTCACAAGGAATAGATATATTTTTTTGTAATATTTCAAGTTTTTTATTGAAACAGTGCAACCTCGATATAACAAAGGGCCAAGTGACTGGCAAAATTTATTCGCAATAACGAGGTTTTTTTTCATATATTTTACTATTACTGGGTAAAGAAAATCGTTCGTTATATCGAGGTTCCACTGTAGTCCTTAGAACATATGACGACAAATAAAGCCAAGTGACTGGCAAAATTTATTCGCAATAACGAGGTTTTTTTTCATATATTTTACTATTACTGGGTAAAGAAAATCGTTCGTTATATCGAGGTTCCACTGTAGTCCTTAGAACATATGACGACAAATAAAGCCAATTATTAAAGAATAACAGTTGCTTTTAAATTTAAGTCTAAACATCAATAGTATTTTTTTGGAAATAACAAAAGAAGGCGAACAAATTAGTATTTAAAACTAAACGCGCATCTCGCCTTATGCTCAAGATTTAAGGGTTACACTTATTGAACATGTTCTTTTTCTATTTCAAATTAGAATAACGACGTAAACCACTCCCAAGTCCATTCCCAAACCATTCTGATAATGGCGCCATAGAACGTAGAATACATGATTTTAATTGGCGGCCACCAGACCACATATGATAGACAGCGTATACCTAGCTCAGTAACATCTTACCTGTTAAAGCGTATCTTGAGAAAAATGATGAAGAACTTCTTGAAATAAATTGATCTTCTCAGTTCTCTTCCGAGAGGAAATAAAATCCAGATAAATAGAGCTACCTAACTGGCTTTGTGGCTTGTTGTTATTTTAAAGGGAAATGGAGAGAAATCATCTTTATGATGAATCTTAAAATAAACAAAAAAAATTCTGCGTTGATTAGATGACATATTTAATTTGTTGGGCCAACAACTGGGATGTGTTCCGAAAGCATTTTGTATACAGAAGATTTTATCAATTTAATTTGTTTGAAATTGCTGCCCTCTTTCGTGATTTTTTATTTTGCTCCAGTGTACGATTTAACCATTGCAGCTATAAAGTATTTGAACTCCTGATTAGCAACTCATGTAAAAAGAGTTTATCACGACCGGAAATATAAAATGGGGCCTTGTCGATCTACATAGCGCTGAGAATGAAAATTTCAATTAAAATAAAATCCATTCATTGGCGTTTTTAATTAGGTGGAGTAAATGACATCCATTCTGTCTTCGAATCTTTGATCCACAGGGAAATGCAGCATGTAATAAGTGCACGCTGGCGTTCCAGTTAGATACAAAACCTTCCCTCGAGTTGATTTTACCTGAAACACCGCCGCCCTGATTACGTCTTTGATTCTAACCACTAGTTAGAATAAACAAGATAAGTGTGCTGGTAGACCTACATAACTTTTATGATGCTTTTGTGAAAGTCGTTTGCATCAGAACTTTTCAGTTTTAATTTTTTGAGAAACTTAAGTGAGGAAGAATGACATTTCATAAGTAGGTTGAGTATGATCATAGTTATTTTTATATCACCTGAGAAATATCTAATTCCTTGGTGTTTCTTAGCTTCAGTTTGCAGATTATTTTCATATATCTTTTTGTCGCTGATAATGCAAAGGCACTTTAACATTTTATAGATTGAGGCACAGGGAATTTTTTTAGAAAAAAGGATATGTCGTGGTTTAATTTTATCCTTGATTCAAATTTGACTCTTCTTTGTTTCGATTTAAACTCATTATCATACATCACCATAACAAAAACGGGAAAAATAAATGTTGAACGAAACGAAAATTTGGATCACAACAGATCCAATTTTTTTGTCTAACACCTCAGTCTGCTTTCAAACCACTTCGATATGACATCCTCAATTGCAGAGCTTCATGTGAAACCCTACAAAAGAATAAATTTATTCCATAACGATTCAATACTTTATTTCTTAGTTTGTGGAAACAAATACAATTGACACCAGGCTGGTACTTAAAATGTCCCACCCCAAATGGGGTACATCTTACACATACCGATGAGCCTGTTTCAGGCTCCGAGTCCGGCCCGCTGAATTGAGAACGCGCGAACACGAAAACAAAACGGGAGGAAACCGCCCCGCCAACTTTTCGCGTGCCTTTTGCTTTCGCGTCTGCTCCACTATCTGAGAGCCTGGAACAGGCGATACACATACAGTCAACGATTCCTCTGTTTTTTAAAATTAGCTTGTTTTAGACATCCTGGTTTTACATCGATTTTACCCATGTTGACTTCGGGCCAAAACGTGTTGGAAAGTAAGCGACTTGCCAGGACTAGAATTTACCTATCAAATTTTAAGATGATAGAGAAACTCCAGAGACAGCTCTCGCTTGTATCCCCCTTGTATGAAATACATTGTCATCCAAGGAGAATAAGCGGATTGCGCCCTTCAAGAAATTTTATGGGCAATTTGCATATTTGTTAAACTTAGGTTTTCGGATTGACGCCAGATTTGCAACAAACGTTTTGGGTCTTCTTATTCCGGAATACAATCAATCGAACCCACCCTAAACTAATTAAAGAAAGCTGAGAATCGTGGCGCATGTCAAATAAGAATAATAATGATGACAAAAATACCTAAAACCTCTATGGTTTTCGTCCAAAATTTTGCAGAAGCTTTCTTACAATTCCTCTTGGGATGATTGTAGGTCCCGAGAGGAATTGTTGACTTAGGCTTAAGTACCAGTTTTCATGATCAGCAAATTGAAAAGCACGTCGATCCTTTGCTGCCGGTAGCAACTGGAGGGCAAAAGTGGAAGACGTATGTCATTTGAACATATTTGATCAAAAGGCGTAAGTTTACGGTAACATCCGCTGGCAATCTGTTTGTCAGTGTCTTTAGCAGCTGCAAACAACAAATGATACAAATGATCGTAACATGCCTTGACCATACTGTTGCTATTATAAACTTTCATCCTATTTTGATTACTGTGACGTTTTGAGAAGATTAGAATTGATTTACATCTCACAAAACTAATTTTGTTTACTTCTTAAACAAGGATGTCTGTGTACATAACCCGAACCCATTTTCTAGAAAATATTTGGTCTATTTATTTTTAAACCCCATGGTAAGCTAGTAGAGATATTGACCTACAGCTGAAATTTGGATCCTTATCAATTTACATGTAAAACGGATGTTTTTTGTGATGTTATATGACATAATGTGCTTGTTGTTTGAGGGTATGATACGCATAAGTGAAAGTTACATGTATCTCAGGTTGTCATTCTCCTCGAATATTCTTAACTGAAACTCCGACATATATATACAAAGCGACCGAAGTTCGCATATTTTGATAGTACTTAAACTAGAAATCCTCCCGACCCATTAAACAGAAATCAAACAAACACAAGGAAATGATAATACAGTTTGAGTGATGAATTAGCACCAGTTTATCAATCAAGGAATGACTGAAAGTATGCTAGAACTTCACAGCGCCAGTTATGGAGAGAGCGTACTAGAGAGTTCAGCACTGATCTGCAGTGATATAGGGTTGAGCACTGAACTGCGACGGTTAGCTCTCAAATATTGGAATGGGATACAGCATACGTACATGTATATTTAAAAAATTCCAGGACTTGGCAGCCTTTCCTCGATGATGTAGTGGATATAGATGTAGGTTATGAAGCAAATGACTCGAACTCAAAGCATTCCAGTGGTGTTTATCTATCTTATACTACTACATGAGAAATTTCTGCACTTTGATTGGCTTAGTGCAGTGGTATTTCAGCTTAATTTGAAATACCTACTTGTGAAAATTACAAACCTTTTGTGGGTAGTAGTATAAACATATAATAGCATGATTTGTACGTGATATTTGGCATAAAT